AGGAACACATTCTTCCAAGCTTCAAATGTTTGCTACAAGAAGGAGAAGCCAAGTATAAGAATTTGTGCAAATCGTTTTTGTTTTTCCCAGAAAAATCTTACATTTCCCAGCGTCATTATGCCCACAATATAGGATGATACGAAACCAGGCAGCACACCAATCATGCCACTAATGCCCAAAACTATACCCGCATAGTTAGGTGACATATCGACAATAGACGCCAGCGGTCCAGATGAGACGGCACCATGGAACATCAGAGCCAAAGTGAGGAAAACTATCGCCGCCAGAGCATTGTAACCGAACATGGCGAGGCATAGCACCATCGTGCCATTCAGAATGCAACCTAAAAAATATCTAAAGTGAGTACATTCAAGGATTGTGGGCAATCATGCAACCTCGCACTTACAAATCGCTGTTGCCAATTTTCGCAAGTTCGTGCGCTTAATTTTATCCGTACGCAATAAGAAGTCAGCGAACGTTGAGAAAGCCAAAGCGAAGAGCATACGCATTAAATGCGGCAAGCCTGAGAGAATGCCAGTCTAGAGAGGGAAACAAAAATAAATGAATACAAATATATTGACTAGTAGAGGGCTTCGTCGTCACTCACCGCTCGAATGTTCCAATGATGTACGACGCGGAAATATGTCGGCGCTTGTGTCATCATTGTGAAGAGGCCCCAAATGCCGCCCCACTGTGCGATCACATTCATCCAAACAGCACGTGAGGTGAGTATGCGACGCCAAGGTGTCGGACCAAGATTCGCATTATTCACCGATGCGCCCAAAGACTTTTCGATATAACGCTGTTCAGAGCTGTTAATACGTGGATGCTCCGCTGGTGTGTTGTACACATAATACAACCAACATAGCCACCACATTGTGCCGATTATGCCGCACGTGTGATAAACCCATTCCCACGATGTCCAATGCATTATGTAACCGAAAATAGGATAGAATGCAGCGACACCTACGGAGCTGCCCATGTATGCGGTAACAAATTTACTACGCTCATTTGGTGGTATCCACTTGGCGGTCATGTGATGCATAGCTGGCCACGACAGGCCCTGTGTATGGAGATTTGAAAGTAGAAAAATATAGATATTGAGGGAGGGGCAGAGAGAGAAAAGTGTTTCACTCACCGTCACAAGACCTTGTAGTATGCGCAGCCATATCAACACCTGATAGTTCCAATAGGACGCCAGCGGTATGGCGAAACATATCCAACAGCCGACCGCATTCGACAAGCCGAACACCAATTTTGTGCCATATCTCTTGGCCAAGACACCACCAGGAATTTGGGTAACCCAATGTGCCCAGTAAAATGAGCCTAGCACTAGACCCTGCTGGTACTCATTCCAATCGAAGCCATCACCGTCGTATGTGATCTGTAAAGAAAGTAGAGGGGAAAAAATGGCATTAGTAAGGATATGGACTTAAATAATAAAATTTCGACGAAATGAATAGACTTGTTGGTTTCGAGAAAGCCATTTTAAGCTGGTCTTGTGACGGAAAAATGTAAACTGCCATAGAGAACCAAATTGATTTGATCACAATTACTTATTAGTTTAAGAGCGCAGAATCATTCCATCAAAAAAGGTATTTTTTTTTGTTCTCATTGCTTTATGGATGCTTCCAAGCGGTCCAAAAACCAGCAGTGCAGGTCTAACAAAATTCAATGGATCTAGATGTTTCCTTCAAACAAACATACATATTCATATGTTCTCATTTCAGGTGAACGCTCATATCTTAAAATTTATCCAACACAAAAATAAGACTTTAAAACAAATCTACAATGTGCGTCTGGATTGCTTGAGCTTTTAAGTATTTTAACCACGCAGGCAACCTAATCAACTGAAATATTTGTAAAAGTGGCTACGTACATATGTTTGTATGCAGATATCTAATCTGAATAAGATTATAAAAAATTATTGGTGTTTACCAAGAGATGCATGATCTTCAAAATTTGTTTGTCACGTATTATGATTTATATGTATTTTAAAGTGAAATCATTCACATCTTTGCAGTTTAGAACTCAGTGTAAATTGCATTTTAAAGTGTAAAGTTAGATTAGGTTAGCTTAACTGAGTTTCTAAGGGATCATTCGCATAGACCACAACTGGTTTATGGGTCCCGTCATCTCCCGAATAGTTGCAGAAAAAGTGATTTCAACAACCATCCTAAGCTACGAGCGTTCCGGGTTATTGATGCCGCTGGACCTATCTTTATCGTGTCCGGGCCAGTTTTGACAAGCTATCCCACAAGATGGCTCTGTTAACCCTCTTTTGTTTGCCAGTTAGACGAAGTAGGTTTTAGTAAGACCTAGGCGGTATATTCGCTTCACGGAAGTTATTTGTGCAAGAAGAGATGCGCGAAACCAAACCTATTCATCTGCCTCGTAAACATAACAGCGCGGTTTCCTTAGCAACAGCTTGAAACCGACTTCTGTGATCTGGGAATCGGTGCACATGGTATTCGATAGAGCAAGCGACCAAAGCGGAAGTCGGTGTCGTGTAGTATGAAAACTAGAATTTAACTGGCCAGCAGGTCGCCAAATTCTCAAAATGAAAAATGTGGCACGTAACGAATTTTTGCATTCTAGTGCGCGCTAAAAATTGGCGATACTGATTTGCAGATACAAGGAATTTTTGAGCGACCAAATCTTTTGTCCCTTCGTTTTACCAAAGCGGTTGGTATGACTGCATTGTAACTGGCCTGCAGTTTTCCGTGATAGTTTACAGAGGAGAGACTGGTGCATTTAGAGATCTCTCGCAAATGGAGGCTTCGAGGCAATGTTTCGGTCGACTAGCAGGCATGGTTCCATTGGCCCATTCTGTTAGCTCCTTTTTCTCTTGCACCTCTGTTGTACTCTAGAACCTTTTAAAATTCTATATGGAGTCCTTCGGTCCTATTGAGCCAGACTTCCCGCTCACACCTCGAACTGCATGAGCGTGCATCATAATGCCTGCCCCTCTGAGGAATCACTGATTTCTGTCTTTTCGTGTTATGGGTCATGCCAGTGGGTTGGGCATAAAGTCATCTTCTCAGGTGTTGTGAGTCGTATTGGAGCTTCCCTCAAGCGAATGATCATGGCTGCCCTCGACGTATATGTAGACCATTTAATCCTTAGTTGCGCCCCACACGCCAGCTATGCACTTCCTCAGTTATTTATATCCATCAGCGGTCGGCGAGACAGCCATTTTACCCAATACCTTTGCAGCAGGTTGTTTCAAGGCTCGAAACTGCCCGCGCTTGCAGATAGGCGGTCGTGCAGACCCGTTCGAAACCTTACCAATGGTAGCATTTTGTGGTGAGTTAAGGCTGAGTCAGAAAGGCGGGGAAACAACGGTCGACTGCAGGCGAGTCTCATCCTGCGGTAAGTCCACCGTTATTCCCAGAGGCGGAGAGGTATCCGGGAAGCGACATTTTAACATTCTTTGGCTATTTCCTTTTCGTTTATTTAATGTTTCTTATTTTTTATGTAAATTTAGCTCGTTATGGTCCTGAAGGCTTCCAAAGGGTCGTCTAACAGCAAGGGGCCTAGGTCTCCAAAAATTAATAAACGAAACACATATTCCCGCGCTTTTCATTCCCACAGCACAGCATATTATTCTAGAAAATTTCATTAGCTGTAAGTCACACATAATAGCAACTAATGATTAGCATCTAAATATTTTCTGTGCTTTAATAAATAATAGGCTATACATGTATGTATATGTAAGAATTAATTAGACATCTGACGCCTGCTTGCTGTTCGATTCAAGAAGAATAACAATCGAATGATCAATGAAAACGGTTTACAACAGCACAGCTGTATAAATTTTGTACATTTCGTATTCAATGCAGATGTTTATTTATAAAAGGTGTTTCCTATATAGCTCTGAAAAAGACAGTAAATAACGGTTATATGTATGACAAATTACTTGTATAGTAAAGTCAATATAACACTTAAGGTGGAAAAAACTCCACACAGAATAAGAAAAAATATTGAAGAAATATTGTTGAGAAAAATATTTTAAACAAAATAAAAAAATGTTCTATCTCTCAATTAAAAAATAAATAAATATTTTAAATTAATTTAAAACTATTGACAATGTAGAAATATGCAAGCAGTGATCGTAATTTGTTGAAGCATCACTCCAACAAGGATTACTTCACGGTGATTTCCAAAATGAACCGGGTTTTTGTGCCGGCTACCAATTTCGAGAAACCTGAGTTTTTTGTATCGATTACGAATTTTGAGAAAAGCATACTGACCACGCCCATTTCTTTTATTACAGTTACTTCAAAATTGACTGTTGTCTGAGTGTACAACAATTACAATCCGTTATCCTTCACTTTTGCCGAGTAAATTCGTATGCAAGTAGAGAGAGTAACCAAGCATTTATACTAAAATTTTCGTAATGAAAGTGATGTATTTTTCTTACCATAGAAGTATATTTTGCGTCCGAACGCTTGAAAAAAGTAAAACCTTTGACTTTATTTTATACCATTAGTCACAACTTTCTACATAATGTTAGGACTTAAAAAACGCAGTTTGTTCTAAACTATTACAAATATTTTTATCTCTTTATTAATTTCTACCTTAATTAAGAAGCTTTTTGGAAATTATGTAGTATTAGAAAAATTAGTTAGCAAATCGTTTATATCTGGCTTTGTAACGGACCGATTAGTATAATATTTTAATATATGAAAGACGAAATACGGAGCTTCATATAATTTGGTCTAGGTGGATTTTAATTTTTTTTCCTTTTGTTTTTGGTTGACGCTTACACCTACATATGTAGATCTAAAGTGAGCTAACTCAAAAATCAGATCCAAAAATATAAATGCAGATTCAACGATTTTAATACAAAAACAGGTATAACAGTAGTTTTTTAGTTTGTGTATATAATCACGAAGAAAAAAACAATCCATTAACTGGAGGTAAGTCCTACGAATTGATTTATGCAAAAAAATCGTCCTAAATTTTTTTGATGTGATCGCTGTTTAGATCCAGGTGTACATTGGGAAAAAAGTTTCAATGTAAAAAATGGGTCCCTCTTAGTTTTTTCCTTTTGGTAATTGTAATNAAAAAAAGTTCCAATGTAAAAAATGGGTCCCTCTTAGTTTTTTCCTTTTGGTAATTGTAATATCTATACCAACTGTTAATTTTCTACTGTAACCCATACAGGGTGCTCAACGACCTTGAAATGCGTTACTGAATCGCTTTGACACTAACAAAAATATTGGGGACAACTGAAGTTTGAAATATTTTTTTTTTAGATAATTTAAATTTGAATTGTTCTTACGTTGCTTAACCAATTGTTTGGTTATTATATGTTTGTATTTAAAATATAAACATTTCATGCGCATCCTCTAAATTTATACTTAGAAACGTAAAGTTTGGTGCCAGCACCTCTTTCGGCAAGAGGAAAAATTTTGGAAGGTGCCCCAAACGATATCTCGGAATTTTTTTTTTTTACCACCCTAATGTACTACATATTATAAAACATATAATATACATATATATTCATTCAAGTGTATTGAAAAGGTGCTAAATAGATATGTATATTTTTTTGTTAATAGCACAGGAGGAACGAAAAATCAATGTAGTTTCGCATTATTTGTCATTCTGCGTATAAAACCAAATTTTGAAAAGAAATGGACTTGGCACCTTTATGCAGCGATATGTATTTCATTTGCCACCACATATAACTCACACTGCTGGTGAACAGCCGCTTTTCCTCTCTGCTGATCTGGTCAGTTTTGCGAGGTTAAGGTGGTGATAATCGCTTCTTATTGCAAAAATCTAAAATTTTTCTCACTTGCTCAGAATTTTGCGCACGTAAGTTGCGCCTTAAAGATTGTTGTCGCGCAAAACGGTTGAAAATTTGTATTACACTTCTTGAGTTTGCTATCGCTTTAAGTGTTTTTATTAACCAATTATTTTGTGTATGACACTATTCTTGCGTGTGTTTTGACAATAAAATTTAAAATCAAGAGTTTATCTTTTTAAAGTTTATACCTTTCTATTGATAACAAAATAATTAAGTTGCTGAGAACGATTTTCAGAAGTGGAATAACAATCAGTAGTCGATGCTACTCAAACTGTATATGTGTGTACATAAGGCTGGTCCAAAAAGGCATGTGGAAAAAGTAAAGTCAGAATTTTTATGCTCTCACCAACTAGGATTGTTCTATACAGAAAATAATTTTTTTTATTTTTTAAATTTCCATGTATTTTATATGGGGAAAACCCACTTTTTGTAGAAATGGTATAGAATTCTCAAAAATCAGGAATCTGCAGGAGATTCCCATTAATAATACCTAATTGTTTATTTGAAAATTTTTTCGTCGTAACTATAATTTATAGGTCCGCCAAAAACCCACAAAGCTACCGAAAAATGTAATGGGGGGACCAACGAAAAATCATTACTATTTAAAAATGGTTGGGGATTATTATCGAAAGTCTCCTGAAGAGAACCTGAGTTTTCCGATCGAAAAATATTGAATTCTGTAGCATTTCTACGAAAAGTTGTTTTTTTTTCCCATACAAAATACATAGAAAACTTTGAGCGCTTTGAGCGACCTCTAAATATTTTTTAATTTCAAAATAAAAAGCAATAGTGGTATCCTTTTTTTGATATAGAACAATCCGAGGGGGTGAGATCATTAGAATTCCGACTTAACTGTTTTTGGACCACCCTAATGCACATACGTAGTATTTTTTTTGTTACGTAGAATAAAAAGTTTTGATAAAATCGCGCCACTTAAAATTCGTTGACCAATTTGTCCGAAAGAGTCAAAACAAACGTCAATACTTTTTTTGCAGAAAACTTATTATTCCAATTATAACCCGACGTTATCGGTTTGATTGTTCGCAATTCGATCGCATACATATATGTAAATTAAGCAGCTTCAATATATACATATGTATATTAGGACGCTCACTCTCCAATCATAAAAACAAAAACGATAGTGTTTTTCCATATAAAATTTTTATTTCTATTTTAAGACTTCTGCCAAATTTTTTTATAAATAAAATCAGTTTTTGAAAATATTTTTTTCAAAAATTCACCTTTGATAATAGAAGAACTTAAGCTTAAAAGGTCTGCGTACAAATTTTATCAGCGGAATCAAAATAATAAGCTTTTTGGAGGTCTAGCTCACGTAAATCTTACAAGCTTATTATCTCTATCGAACGATAGGCTGCGCGAACGATTCGTCTGCAGAGGAACGCTTCAAAAATTAGTCCGGCAACATCATTCTAGGTGATGTAAACGTAACCGATTGCAACCTAATAGACGTAACATTATGCGCTTGTCAAATTTGGTTTGGAGACAAACCGGTTTCGGCGTTGTGCCATCTTCAGTGTCATTTTTCGTTCGAACGATGGAATGGATGACGGAAAATCGTTCCACATTACATCACACTCCTACCCTGTCGGAAACACCAACAACGAAAATGAGAAAAATAATGACATCTTATTTTGAAAAATTTGAAAAATAGACGTAAGCAAGACGAACACGACCGATAGATTAATAAAATTGCAATCAGAGACTATGCCGTCAGCAGACGAATCGTTCGTGCCGCTTATCGTTCGAGATACATAATAAGGCAGTTAATATTTTTCCGATATAATTTGGCGGAAGCCATAAAATATAAAAATTTCTTAATTCCCCCACATTTTTTTGGTGATGCACACTAATGTATATATTTCGAGTGATTCAACTTTGTTCATAGAACTAGAAAATTCCGACTTTTGGAATAAGATATTTGAATGAAATAATCCTTTTTCACATCGTTCTTGTCGGATTCTATCTCCCAAACTAGGTATAAATCAGCAGGACTATCAAAACAGAGTCAACGATGAAAGTATAGTACCTAGGTGAGCTTCGTCCATAATCCAAATCTAGTATATACATATGTAAGCGAATAACGCGCTTCTTGCAACAACTTACTCCAAGTGCATCGAGCAACTGCCTCTCCCACGAATAACGCTGCTGCTTTGCCAATCGTATCACCGCACTTTGATTATTCGCGATTACAGCTACACTGTGGCTACTGAAATTTGCATTAATACTGTTGTTGGTTGATTGTACATAACTATTATTGACTAAAATATCTTGCGTAAAATTTGCCAACGGTGAAGCTGGAGTTGCTTGTATTGACATTAGCTTCGCTTTGGTGGCAATCATTTCCACAATGGTTATATTCAAGTTGATGCGAATCATGTAGTTCACGGCAAATCCGAGAAATGCCAGATACCAGAGTACGGTGCGGGCTTGAACTGAAAATTAAAGAGTTTGAAAAAAGATTAGAAATAAAAAATTAAAACACATTTAGTAAATTTGGAAACACTTAAGCAACATGAAGATTTCTTAAGTTNTAAAAATAAAAAATAAAAAAACATTTAGTAAATTTGGAAACACTTAAGCAACATGAAGATTTCTTAAGTTTTACAAAATTCAATAATTATGTATACTAAGTTAAGGCTTATTGAAATACTTGCTGCTCCGCCCGCGTTAAGTTCAGTTTAACGTTATGATTTCACATTTAGCAAAAAAGAAAATCAGCCTTATCATGAGTTTCATTTTCCCCGAACGGGTTCACTTTTCACTTTTGATTTCCATGTATTTACTATGTGCGTATGAAAAATTTTCCGGTGAAGTTTTGTTCGGGCAAAACTCAGTAGAGGGCTTAATAAATTATAACACTGAAAATAATACATTTTATTAAAAAAAAAAATGCTGCTTATTGTCTCAGGGTTCCAGGATATATTTAATAAGTCAAACTTCAACTAAATTGATAATTGCAGTATAAAATCAAACAACTTACAGCTCGTAGCTTGTCTTTATACTACACATACAAATATAAACTTTTAACATTATTTTATTTCTATTTAATACCAATATCTATCTGTTTGTTAAATTCCATTTAGTTTAAACAGAATAAATTGATTTGGAAGGGCGGAAAGTCTTTGCTGTAAAGATGAAAGATATTAAATTTTGCAAATGTTCACCTAAATTCAATTTAATTTTAAAAACTGCTTTCTAAGCATCTTTCGTTTGATATACATATTGCAATATTTCACTCAATTTAATATAAATTTTAAGAAGGTGGTAATCCTTTCAAAATATTTTGAAAATAAAGGTTTCCTAAACTGGTTTCGTTTGACATCCATATTGTAATAATTCAGTAATCTAACTGATTCAATTTAATTATATTGTTAAACATGTGGCAACACCCCTTTCAAAAATATTTTCTAAATGAAGCTTTCTGAAACAACTTCTATTTAATATGCATAGTGTAAAATTTCATTTAAATTATTGATTAAATTTAATTAGACTTTAAACCCTAACCTAATCCTTTTTTAAAAATATCTTCAAAAAAATCTTTTTTTTTAACTTTTGAATTATTAAAAAATGGAACTTCACTTTTAAACAGGTGGCGACTCTTTTCAAAAGAAAGCTTTCTTAAACCTATTTTGTTTGTCACCCATATTGTAATTCTTCATTTAAACATTTTCAACGGGTGGCAACGCTGTTAAAAAATGTTTTGAAAATAAAGTTTTCTGTAATCTCGTTGGTTTGCCATCCATACCGTAAATTTTCATTAAACTTATAGTTTAAATTGAAATTAACTTTTTAAGCAGGTGACATCCCTCTTCAAAAATATGGTATATGTTAGTCCTGGTCATAAGCTATCCGTATGCCGAATTTCATACAAAAAAACAACAAACATGCTCACACACTCTCTCACAAACTTTCACATCTATAATATTAGTAGATAACTTGTCAATTAAGCTTCTAACCTGGTGGCAACCCTCGTCAAAAATAGTTTCGTATTTAATGTCGCGTTCAGAAAATCCATTTTAAAATATTTTAACGAACGAAAACGTACACTGAAGATGGCACAACGCCGAAACCGGTTTGTCTGCAAACCAAACTTGGCAAGGGATGACGGAAATTCGTTCCAAAATAAAATATTTTATTTAACTTGTTAATTCAATTGATTATAAATTTCCAAACAGGTGGCAGTTCCCTTTAAAATATGTTTGAAATAAAGCATTCTTAAAACCTACCCATGTTAAAATATTTCGTTTAACTGATTAAGTAAATTGATTTTAAAATTTTGAACAGGTGGCAACCCTCTTACGGAATATCTTCGAAATAAATCGCTTTGGAACCTCTTTCGTTTGAAAGTGGCAACTCTCGTCAAAAAATATCCTATATGTTAATCCAGATTATAGCCTATGGCCGAATTTCATTTAAAAATTTTCACACACTCACACAAGCTTTCACATTTATAAATCGAACTAGGTTTATTTTCGTTGCAATCGTTGAACTTTCTCTTGCAGTCTCTACCCTTGCTTAAAGCATAAGATCGAGCCTAAGAATCGTTTAAAGTGTGTTTCTACACCTCACTATTCCACACAACTTTGTAATATGTAGTAGTGAATAAAATCTGTAACAAGTGTAACTAAAATATATGGAAAATTTAATTTATGACCGCTTGCCTATAATTGTCCACACTTGAAATGCATCTCACCAGTTGGGTGATGTTGAAAGTCAGTAATAGAGATATCAACTAGCAAGTACAATTTATTTAATTATAGCGTAAATATTTCTAAAACTTAACTCTTCGAGCTAATTAAATAAGAATATTTAATTTAAATAGGTGCAAGCAAATGCACATATGTAATTAATTGATTATANGTAGCAATTTTGTGCGAACTACTATACTATTTGTTTACTAACTAACGCACGCTAGATATTAGTTTTCCAGCAAAATTTAAACAAGTTTCTGCCAACCACATATTGCAATCGTTATGCGTACAAAGTAAAAAAATAAAAATTATTATAAATATTCTCATTTTCGTTGTTGGTGTTTCCGACAGGGTAGGAGTGTGATGCAATGTGGAACGATTTTCCGTCATCCCTTGTCAAATTTGGTTTGGAGACAAACCGGTTTCGGCGTTGTGCCATCTTCAGTGTCATTTTTCGTTCTGACACTGAAGATGGCACAACGCCGAAACCGGTTTGTCTCCAAACCAAATTTGACAAGGGATGACGGAAAATCGTTCCACATTGCATCACACTCCTACCCTGTCGGAAACACCAACAACGAAAATGAGAATATTTATAATAATTTTTATTTTTTTACTTTGTACGCATAACGATTGCAATATGTGGTTGGCAGAAACTTGTTTAAATTTTGCTGGAAAACTAATATCTAGCGTGCGTTAGTTAGTAAACAAATAGTATAGTAGTTCGCACAAAATTGCTACAATGAAAACGTATTTTCCTGATATTTGAATATTTTATCAAACTGGCTTTGCTTTTCGCGCGAATTTTGCAATGCAAGTTGGGAAAAAAAACATACATACATAAATATATTCGAAGCGTTTCAAGAGAAATATAGCAATTTAATTAAATTTAAAGTTGCTCAGAAGGGAAAATGCTATCAGTTTTTGCACTAAAGAGCCTTATGTAAACTTGTTAGATTTCTTCGAAATTCTTATTTTGTTCAGAGTGCAAATATTCTCAATTTATTCTGCGTATAATTAAAAAAAAAATGGCTTGAACAGAATTTGGTTTCCACAAAACCTTGCCACATGTCACACAACTCGAACAAATATGGTCTAATTGCAAGAGAAATATTCCCAAACGCGTAAAAATGAGAAAAAATTTAGAAAAACTTCCGAAAGTTCCGGAAAAGACGCCAAAGAATTCTAAAAAAAAATACCCAAAGAGCCCTCTAAAAGTCTTAAAAAGTTCCCAAACACGCTCAAACGTCTCGATACATTCCCAAGGGTCGCGAAAAAATTCCAAAATTTCCTGAAAACAACGCGTAAAAATGAGAAAAAATTTTGAAAAACTTACGAAAGTTCCGGAAAAGACGCCAAAGAATTAAAAAAAAATACCCAAAGTCTTAAAACGTTCCCAAATACGCTCAAAAGTCCCGATAAATCCCAAAGGGTCGCGAAAAAAATCCCAAAATTTCCTGAAAACAAGACAAAGCTCACGAAAAAATTCCGAGCAGCCTGAAAAATATTGAGAAAAAAGTCTTGAAAGTTCCGGAAAATTTTTAAAAACACAGAAAAGCCTGAAGAATACCGAAAAAATACTATGAATACCGAAAAGATCTCAAACCGTACAGAAAAAGTTCCGAAAAATTTCTAAAAAATCCTAAGAAACCCTTTAGGGTCAGAAAAATACAAAAATACTAAAAATTTCAAAAAAATACCAAAAAATACCGGGGAAAATCCAGATTGGTTGGCGAAGTATTTCGAAAAGAATTATACAACGTATGACGTAAAATCGTTCCACAATGCATCATTTAGAAAAGTCCCAAAAATATTTGCAGATGGTTCGGAAAAAGTCTTAGAAAGTTACGAAAAATCCCTGGCACAAAAATCCTAGACGGTTCAGTCCGAATTCTTAAAGACCCTGAAACAATTCCTATAACTACCGGAAGCAATCCGAAACTCCCAAAAGAATACGATAGTTCCCGAAAAAATTATGAAGAGCCCCGAAAAAATCTTTATAAGCCCCAAACCGATCTAGAAAAATTTCAAAAAGAAAAGGCAAAGAATGTTCCGAAAAAACTGAGCAAAGTCCCGAAAAAATGCCAAAAGATCTCCATAGGGACGGGTCCTGAAAAACTTACCAAAATTCCCAAAACCATAACAAAATTTCACAAAAAAACAAAAACTTTCCCAAGAACCCTCCAAGAGGCAGCGAAAAATATTAAAACTTCCTGAATAATTCCGTAAAATCCTGACAAATGACACCTAAAATATATCGCTCAAAATAACAAATGACAAACTTTTTAAGTTATAAGAAGGCATATAAAAATTACGCAGAGATCCGAAAAATATCGAACAAATTTTTTTAAGTTTCGAAAAACCTTAAAACAATTCCAAAATCCTGAAATTGCCTAAAAAATTTATAAAAAATAGAAAGTTCCGAAGAAGCTCGAAAAAGTCCCCAAGATCGCAAAAAAGCCTTACCGGTCACGAAAAAATTAAAAAGTTCCCGAAAGCATACCAATATGTCCCAAAAAGTTACCAAAAACCGTTCGAAGGGCGTTGAAAATTTAAAAAATTCTGCAAAAGTCCTGAACATCAGCGATAAAAGCCAAGGACCCGGAAAATCTTGACAATTCCCTAAAAATCTGAAAAATCCCACAAATCACACCTAAAAAACAATAAAAAATGTCTTGCTCAAAATAATAAATGTCAAAATTTTTGGGAGTGGTGAGAAATTGTATAGACATGTATGTATCTAAAATAGGGTGCCTCACCAAAAAAAGTTGCGGTTTTTCCTACTGAAACTATAAAATGTATCATATTTTAAGACATCCGTGAAAATATTTCGGAAAAATACTCATATGAAGATTTACGTGCGCTAAACCGATTTGAAAATAACTCCGAAATCACACTATTTGGATTTCGTTTATATTTTTCAGAAATATTTTAGCGGAATTTTTGAAATATAAGAAATTTTATAATTCCGATGAGATAACAGTACCTTTTTTTTGTATGCGGAGTGATTCAACCTAATGTATACACATATATTCTTCAATGAGCTAGGTGCCTTCGAAAAAGCGTTACGATAATTAGTTCACTAAATCTTTTTGTTTTCGAAATGTGAAACTAACTTTTTTTCAAGTGTAGACTTTTAATTTTTTCTCACAAATATTTTATCTCGGTAGACTTGCAAAATTTTTCGAGAAATAATTCATTAGAACAGTATAAAAGTCAATAATTTTTGTAATATGAAAAAAAAAACACAACTACAAAAACGAAAATTAGACTTTCCTCGTATTCATAATAATTACCTTCAACCATTTTTTCACTTTTTTTTGCAAAAAATATCGCTCCAAAGATCAATTCGAAAAATCACTTCGAAAAAAGTTGACGTTAAATCACGCGCACCACCCGCACTCGCTGCGTTCTAACAAAAAAAAAAGAAAACTGGACTGCGCGCTTTACAGATTTACCATTAACGCAATTGCGTCTGCGCACTTCCGAAGCTTCGTAGAGTGGGTGATTATGTGGCTGGTTGTTTGAATTGTAAGAGATCACTTGTGGTCGACTGCTGCCGCGCTAAATCGTCGATACCCAATCTATGCATCAAGGAAACGAACACGAAAACGATGACCGCCGACAAGGAAGTCCAGCATCTGGCACGCGTATTTTACGGAAGGTACTTAGAAGGTGGCGGAAGCCTTTTCAAAGCTTAGCAACCACCACAAGCGTCACTAGCATCTTCGCACACTTAATACGATTTAAAACGCTTTGTAATATACGCGTTAAATGATCGAGTTACACGCGAAACGATCACTGCGATTGCACTGCATGCACATAGAAATATGAGATGAATAACTAAAAGGCACTTTGATTAAACTACGCTCTTCAACGCGCCGAACCACTGTGGAACGGATATGGCAACAAAATGGACGAGAACGTCTCGCCACGGAGGAGTGCGCTAGACGAATGAGTAAAATGCTTGACGTCTGTCTAATAATACAGACGGCTACCTCAAAGTAAGTGAGCGTCTGAGTCTGAGGCAAAAATTTGCAACAAAAAAAAACAGAAAGCAAATCATACCGCTGCTCGGCATTATTCCGATAAAAATGTACTGTGTGTACGTATGAATGTAGATAGGTAGGTGGGTGCCTCACAGATTAGCTATAAGCCGCCACAGAGCAGCATACATACATATGTAGAAGTAGCGCCAACGCCGTTGTGGATATAGGAAAATGTTGGAAATAAGGCCTTAGCAAACACCAAAACGTACACACATTCAAGATCTTGCTTCGCAATAATCCATATTAAAAATCATCACATAACAATAACAAGAAAGGAAAAACAGCAACATCAACAGCGCCCACTATGCTGATCAGTGATCGCGACAATAGAAATAAGGCGCAGCTCTTGACTCTTATCACATACTACATGTGATAAATTACGTATGTACATACGTACGCGCTCACCTTATCACATATGTATGTATGTGTGTATGGACATGTGTATGTACCCTGTAGGGAAAAATACTAGTCGAGAACTAGAAAGCTACCAGTTTGCGATTAAGCCCAACTAGTTCAGCGACTGGTATTTTAAACATGGCGTTGTCCTACGAGATGTCAACTGTTGTCTGGCTATGCATCAACACCTACTAGTAGACATAGAAGTAGCATCATACCTCGTGAAAGGAATAAGCATGGTCCCGGCCGGAAATAAATCTCAATTTTATACAAGCGCTGGTCAGATTTCCTTACCTCCGTTTATCGCCGAACAAGGATAACTATCGAGGCGCTAGACTCAAGGGTAACGTTCGATCTAAGCAGTCACTTTCCAGTGATTCAGGACAGCTTCCGTCTAATGAACCTCGAACTACTAATCAGAACTCCCATACAGTTCCTAATATAAAATGTAAGACTAGGTCTTTATTTAATTATAGAGATGATTTAGCATTGGGCAACATGCCGAACGCCCGGTTAGTTTACCATTGTATCGCAGTCGCTTGCCAAAGCTTGTCATGGTGGTGAGAAGGAAATCGTTGTCAGAAATGTCTAGCCAGCACCGGGCTCAGTTGCCCAAGTCAAGGTGTTTGGTGCTAGCACCAGCCTGGTAACTAAGAGGGATAACTTTTTTCGAGAGAATCCCTCCAACTGCAGAAATGAAAATCTCTAATGAGTTCTTGTAGGCTAGTCTAGCTTAAGAGTATCAAGAAACTCCTTGTCAGAAAACATTTGCCACTAACAGGATTGGTTACTCCAGTTAGGATTTTATAGCATACAGCCAGTCCCACAGTACAGCCAGTTAAGAAAACCGTCCCAACACAAAAAGTGACTATCTCAAAGGGAAACTATTATTCTGGAGCCAGTCCAGGCTCGTTGCAGGACAACCTAGTCTGTGCCCGACAAGGTTATCCTTTTAAGGTTGTCGCATGACAAATACTGTACTGGCGCGGCCAATGTAAACGTACTCGAGAAAATCTACCTAGCATTTGAACTGGTTACACATGTCAAGATATTGCGTGGTAGTGCCCGTCCAGGCACTATGAGAGCTAACCGTTGTTAAGAGAATCAATTAATTGTCTTTGACTATTCAAAGGCAGATGTCGCATAAGTTAGTCGAATTTCAACTTTAGCTCATACTAGTCATTGTACTGGTATTTTTACTGACTGGTTTGGCTTTTCACTGCAGGGTACATTTGTACGCATGCAGGTGCCTTCTGCCATGCCCACCTGCCTCTTCCGCCTAGCGTTCTCACATCAATCCTCTCAATCTCTTACGCTCTTTTCAGCACGATCGCTTATCACACACAACCTGAGAATTTGTTGAATTTGTTTATCTGCTGCTGCTTCTCCTAATCCATCAATGCTTGCGGCACGCCAAGGTGTTATGCCACAGAGAGTAAATTACGATATGAATTTAGGGCTTACTTGGAAGATAATAACAGTGAAAATCGTGTCGAGTGTGCGGTTGCATTGAGACAAAGACATTTCTAGTAAACAAAGTGATGTTGTTTGAATGATAAGAAAAGTAACAGATAAGAGGTGAAAGAAGGAATAAAAGTGTTTATAATCCTTTTGAAATGCTTGTGTATGCAAATGCAAATAAAACTTTGCTCGCGAGGAAGTTAGAAAAAAAATCATAAGCACGGTGTTTTAGATGTTTTGATACCAAAAGCTGTGACAATTCGTCAAAAGAAACTACAAACGGCAAGAACGTCAACTTACTTAAATAATTTTTTTAGCTCTCGAAACTATGCTGCATAATTCAATTTGAAACTTCTACATAGTTCTTACCAAATGAGGCCCTTTTACGGATATTTTTACGAGAGTGGGTTAGGTAGGTTAGGTTAGGTTAGAGTGGCTGCCATAGCGCAAGAGCACGGCAGTGTACTTAGACTGAAAAAAGCTTGTTGTGGTAGCAACGGCGGAAACCATTCGCTTCGTTACCTCCCTTGAAAATTTAACGACCGAATGCGTCTTAAGTATGCATATAACACAAAAGATTTAGAAAGTTCGCTGTATTCAGGTCGGCAAAGCAATCCAAAAAGTACATGTCCAAGAATTGCAGGCGCGTCTTAAATATGACGGTACAGTGGCTGAGATGGTGTTTGTTTCTCTCCACCTCTTCCTTGGGTATACCAACCTCTTTCTATGCGTGCCCATCTGGCAGTGTTCAGTGATTGTCCCCGACTACACTTTCAGCCAAATTTTCCCGGTAGTATCACAGGTAGTTTTATGGTATTTACGTTCTCTATGAGTTCAGCGCGTCTTGAGCAGATTCGGTTTCGAGTATTTTCGTTCCTCTTCTTGTCAGCTCGGGTTACCAAAAATACAGCAACGACTCCTGGATCCAGCAGCAAAACCTGCTTCCATAGCTCTTTTAAGGGCTGGAAATTCGCAGAGTATAAGCTCCACAATGTACTCATTCGATCCGCATTTTCAAACAGTGTCTTCTTACCACATCGCCAACTAACAGCCTATCGTCTTACTCAGATATAATAAACTTCTTGTGCGTGTTATCATAATCTGGATACTTAGTTCTAGGTACCCTTCACCTTTCTTGACTCCCCCACAATTGCTTGTAGTGAAATCGGCACATCTGCTATTGGTGCGTCTGTCGAAGGTGTGCCCTCTTTGTAAAGTCTGTCTTTCTGCTGCCACCAAATGAGCGCCTTCCTTGGCAAGTTTGTCTGCCTCTTCGTTTCCAATGACGCCAGTATGTTCAGACATCCACAATAAGTGCACTAACTGGCCAACATATAATTCAGTCATGGCTCCAAACTTCTTGAGCCATTTTTCTGGTTACTACTCTATACCTCCGCCTCCTTTTTGATAGCTAAAATCCTTAGTTCAAAATAGCTTTAGAAGATAGGAAGCAAATAAACTCGTACTAAGGCCACATTGAGCCAAGCTGCCCATACGTCACCTGAAGATAGCGTCACATTCGAGCAGAAGATGTAACAATGTTTTGAGTTCGTTTTAACAGATACCCAGTTTAGGCAGATGGCCTTCCCGTCTGTGTAGTGTCCTATAAGAACGCCTTTGACAATTCTACTTCGAGAGATTGATTAAAAATTCGAATCTCTTTAAGCTAAGTACTATATCCTGAAGTCAGCACTTTGCCTGGCGTAGTCCTGTTGAGCGTCGCCAGTGCTAACCGCTCTTTAATCTTCTCTTCTTTCTGTGCTCTTCTTTGAATTTGGTCCCAGTGTCACGAGAGCTCAGGCCCAATTGGAGTTGTGGCCGCCGTCTTCCTAGCTAGTCCATCTGCTGACTCGTTTGTGGTTGGTTATTTTTTTTTTGCGGCTACTTAACGCTCCCTAGAATTAGGTTAATCCTTCAATAGTTGTCGTCAAACTCAACTAACACCAGGCCCAGGAAAAGTGACGAGGTCGGTCAAAACAGAGAAGAATGTTAGTTGAGTTGGGTAGAAAGCATATACAGAAGTAGTTGCTGTCGTAAGCGGAACTTTCATATGCATACATATGCTGTGAGTACGTCGGGGTCTAGGCTGGATAAGTAAGAGTTTAACTTACTACTGTTTCCAGACTGTAATAGTGCCACCCAAGCTTTACCCAACCCTGTTTAGATCGCTAAAACCTTTCGTTGCTAAGTCGTTGCCCTCTATTCCCTTGCGGCCTAGTACCCATAGTAGATGGATGTTATGATAGTTGGCAAGGAAACGAGCCTTAAGCGCCGCCTTAATAGAGAGAGTAGCGTCTGGTCATAAGTACGCCCAGATTATTTTGTTTCTTGTCTATACGGGTTAAAGTTTTCCTTGATTGGAAAACTCTTCCCTTTACTCCCTGCTCATAAAAGTAGTCCAGAGACATCATTATCAAATGTTGGCATGGACAAATCTAATTCGTCTCGACTGGTGTTAGTTGAGTGAGTTTGAGGGGCATGTGAAGAGTTGGTTGGTATCAAGTCTGGATGAATAGAGGCGTTTCGATTGCTACAGTATTCAGAGCGTAATTGTGCCAGAGTAGTGCAAGGCTTTCGATTTAGCTGACGCTCTTCCTCTACGATAGATAGATAGAGATTGGTTAAGTATGCACTGCGACCGGAAGATCTATTGTACCATCTTCTCCTTACAGCTCCCGGAGAAAGTCCGTAAAGTTGTATGTGGTCAGAAGTCTCAGCTGCATTATCATAGAACCAGCATACATTGTTGGATCAGATCCAGAGTTTATATATGTATGTGTATGTGTATGTATCGAATGTGAAATTCGTATTATGAGCTATGCAACCGTGTCGAAACTTTCGTTGAGTATCGAATTTTCTGTCGAACAGAATTTTGCTTTCGATGCGGTAGCGAAGTGTAAGAAAATTGTGAAAAATTTATAATTTTGCGTTTGTTTTCTTACATTTTGACGGCTAGACACTAATTTTAAACAATTTTTTATTAATTTCATGCAGATCTAACGTCGTGAATACAAGCTCTAAATTGAGATTTCACAGGAAGGAACAAAATCGTAGAGCTCTTGATAATTTTAAAATATTTTAAATAGATTTGGCTTGGTTTTGTGTAGCAGGTCCACAAAAGCCTCTTTAGACAGTCGGAAGTGTTTAACCCTCGTCCGTGCGACTAGGTACAATTGTAACTTTTTCGTTTTTAAATTACAATAACTTTTTTTCCAGAAAACTTAAAGGGCTGGATCTTCGTGACATCTCTACATTTTTGTTGCGCCAAATGTTCCCTTAATTTAAAACAAAATGGGCCACTATTTTCTGAAATAGAGGGCTGAGTTAAATTTACACCCACGTCAGAGCGCATAGGTACAATTGNTCTGTAGATGAATTTCTTAAAAATATATGTATGTCAAAATATATTCGAAAGACTACACTTAAACGTTTTCTACTCCTGGCCAGTTTACTAAACTCGTATCCTTTCAACAACAGTCGAAGAACAAATGCAACTCATAATAGGGGCCACAGATTCCCCAAAGAATTTTTGGGGAGCGTTGTAGGAGTGACTGCCCTTGGCCAAATATAAATCTGGAGCGTTCTGGTTAAGTAGACCCGCCTGTCGTGGGAACTCCCCTAAGCTCGTCTCTGATGGTGGGTAGTCCTACTGCAAGGAAGGGCTCGTTTAGCCTCTCGTTGCACTCGAGAACCACTACGTACTTAATTTTGTTGGAAACAACTTTCGCTGAAGATGGATCTCTGCAAACAGACTAATGGCTTGGATTATACTTGGCAGTCTACCCATAGGAACTGACACCTTTGTTCTTGGCCCAAAAATTCCAGCTCCAATGCCCTCGGGTGTTTTCGAACCGTCTATGTACCAAATAAGGGGCGCAAATGGAGGTATTTCTCTATATCTGCAGATATCCTCTCGTAGGAGTGCGATCAGAAGTAGTTGAGCCCTGAGGGATTCCATATTTCGAAATGATACCACTTCTCCTCTTCCAAATTTCACTACGATAGGTGGTGGTTGAACTCCAATACCGACATTCATGGGGCAAGTGTTAATGTTGGTCTCTCTATGAATGCCGTTTGTCGCCTACCTCTACAGCGTCGGGTTCAGTGGTCGTTGCATATAATCCTGGATATCGTCCTTCAGGTGGTGAAAATATCTTTTGACTTGCCTATGCGGAGGCTCTGCATTTAGCAATTGTCTACGTCGGTAGCAGCTGACCAGGAACTGATTGCTCAGCAATTTGTGTTCCTTTACTGGGAGCATCTGAGTCTCTGAAGTTGAATGTTGCAAAATTATGAACGCCAATAATTTAATTTAAGATTATTCGCACGTCATACACTTTTTCTATGATTCGCATGTTTTAGTTTGCGAAGAGAGGAGCTTTTTTTTTGACACAATACTTTTTGTTCCGAATATCCAATTAGTACTGTACAAAAATAGCTTTTGTACCTGCGATATAATCTTAAAAAAATACAATCTGCTAGAAATTTGTCACGTTAAGACAAAGCAAATAATTACAGTTATCATCACAATATTTGCTTAGGCAACAAAGCGCGTTGCTTTCATGCGCCTGGATGCTGATTGCTGCTAAAACGGCTTTCCACTGCCCACATTCAATTTACGTCGACAATAAAAAGAAATTTGCATACAAATATACTGCAATTCTTAATTAGAAAGTTAGCTTTTGTCGATGAGCACCCTCGTGTTGCTAGCTTTTCGCACAAAACTGTACAAATTATTGTTTATTTCTACTATATAAATGTTGTTTAAATGCAAATGTGTTTTTATGAGCTCCGCCCTTTCAGGGCATCGATGTAAGGTAGCCATTAATTACGAAATTTATTAACTCATTCACCGATAATACAATTTGTTATCTGTATGTGTGTATGTTAATCTGCGATAATTTGTTTCATTCAATTAATATCAACAAATTAAATAAATATGAAATACCTATTACAAAATTAAAATTAACCCATACAAATTAAATAAAAAAAAAAACAGAATGGCATAAATAAATACAAATAAAATAAGACAAACAACTGAAAATAATCATTGTATAATGCAACCTTTCCTTCTCTCTAATTAAATAGTAAAAAAAAACAAGTTCTGCCCAAAATTCTTCTAAAATTTCTAACTAATTCAACTTAATTCCAGATAACCACAAAGAATTGATACCGAATTTTTAAAATTTTTCTTAAGGAATTATTATTAAATTTCACCAAGTCGCTTTTGTTAAAGATTTTTACTTGTATTGACTCAGCAAGAAAATTTTCATAAATACTCTAACGTATCTTAAATACAAGTTTAAACAAAAGTAAACATGTTTTTTCTTCGCAGTTTATATACATACATACATATGTATAAATATTTAAATCGGTGGGATTTCTTTTGAATCACTTCTAAGTGGAAGGCATCCAAGCGCAACTACATTTAGCTAAAAGCCCTTGACCCCTTCAATTATTATTTACCTAGTTACATCTGGTGTTTACATGCATATTATACAAAATAAATTGCCAATAGGAATTTGTTCGTATCCGCGTTTTACTGCTATTTTTATGGTTATGGTTTTCTATTTGTAAAAATATAAAAAAAAATATGTAAGTATTTACATATATACCGGTACATATTTTGTAAGAGTATGACTACGTAAAAAATTGCATCTTCATATAAAAATGAGTGATACAAATAATAAAAGCACACAAACATGTGCTAATCTACATACATAGTTACACACTATGTACTGTGTCACTAATTATAACTCGTGCTATAGCAATCCCATTTACCAGCTGTGAACCCATCCCCTAGGCTTCGAATGTTTTTGCATAATTTACAAAACACTTTGCATAGTAATAGGTCATATTTAGACCTGTTATTCCTTGTTTTTCAAAAAGCATCTAACAATGCTAAATGCATTCAGTAACACACCTGACAACACAATTGATAAATCCCTTTAATTTGTTTTGCATTCGCGCCGTATGCGACAATCCTCAACATATCAATGAAGTTGCGATCACAATTATGCATGTCCGTATGTACTTGTATTGGCAGAATTGGCGCTTTAAAATTAATTGAAAGAATAGAAATACAGCAAAACGTTCATTACAAATATTAACAATTATATTGTATTATATGTATGCATATTTATATAAGTGATTTCGAGTTATTTTAATTATATATATTTTTTCTTTCTTTTTTAATATTGTATACTAGCATTGTATGTTTAGTAGATATTATATGTACATGTAGAACTTGTCCGGTAAACATTCCCCTTTCATGTCTCCCCATCTGCGAGCGCCGCCATTGTCGTCGACGTCGTCGTTACCGGCATGCGGCCCTCGCATGCCGCTTCCCATAGGCGGCTCAGCATTCATCCGACATTCTCATACGCCATGGCTGGCCGCTCGGTACTCATGGCACTGGAGGCGGCCGATGTGCCAAATATGGTGGGCGGATGATGTTGTTGCGTCTGCTGTTGGTGTGGGTTATGTTGCGGCTGTTGCTGATGTGGGTTATGTGTATGATGCTGTTGTGCTGTGGGTTGCTCGTTGCGTATTTGTGGCAATGGGAACATAATGCCATGTGCCATTTGTGGATGATGCAAATGCTGTTCACTGGTGGGTGGTGCCGGCGCCTGCTGATGACTATTGTGCTGTTGGTGGTTACCATCAACATGTTTGCGTTGCTCATTCTGTTGATGTACCTTCTCGGCACCCTCGTCATACTTCTTTTGCAATTGGAATAGCGCGTGTGGCAATTGTTGTTGAGCATGTAGTGCAACAGCCGATGCGGAAACACGTTCGACTTGTGATTGCGGCGAGGCTTCCTTTTCATTCTTATCATATTTCTTCTGCAGCTGATACATGCTATGTGATAGTTGTGTATGTTGCGCTAATTGTATTTTATCATTTGCCGTAGAAGAGCTTTGCTTGCTCGACGACGACGATGCTGACTGTGTATGTGTTTGCGACTGGGGTTTTTCCTGTTTAACCGGTGCCTTCTTCTGGTATTTCTTTAGCACCTGTATGAGTTCACCCTTTACATCAAGGCGAATCTCTTCGGGCACACGCTTAATCTCCTCGTAGAGCGAAAGTAAAAACAGCTTATCCGGATCACGATTCTTACGTTTTTTGCTTTTCTTTGGAAAGGCATCTTGCATAAATTGCAAGAGTTTTTCCTCGAATGCAGATTCACGCTGCATTGCAGCAGCAGCATGCTGCTGGCGACGCAACAAATGCGAATGCAAGCCACCGTGAAACGCCTGCAGATGTGGCATGGAATTGTGTTGCTGTGACGAGCTACTACCCGAGACATGGTCACCGTTATGTGATTGCATGCTAACGCCGGGAGTCTGGAATGAGCCGCCATGCGTGTCGGTGTGATTAGACGAACCGGGTGCATCATTTGTTTCGCCATCATTATTCGTATGATCTTGCTGCTGTTGCTGTTGTTGTTGTTGTTGTTGTTGCTGCTGTTGTTGTGCCGCATGTTGCTGATCCTTTTGATGCTGCATGTGCTGTTGCTGACCGTTGGATACAGCGGCAGCTGTTAGGATTGCATCACAAAAATGTTCGGGTACATAATCGAAGCCAGACATGAAGTTCTCCGGTTTTAATTCGCCATTCATTTCCTCATAGAAATATTCGGTGCCAACAATATCGATAATGTCGTTATCCTCTTGGTTTAGCTCAATTCCCGGAGGCGGGGAACCTCCTGCCAGTTGGCAACGTTTCAGCTCGGCAAGTTTCTTACGCGTAGTCAAACGCATATCCCGCCAGCACTGTGTGTATGAAAAATAGAAAACGGTCAGATTGACGGCAAGGGAATTAAAGTGTTAACAAAGTTTCATACTATCACCCTATAGGCAATTACTACTTTCAAATTTTTGTAAAATCCATAGCAAATTACTGATTTATCCCAATTTAATGTTTTAATAGGTTTTTTTTTCATACCTAATAGAATATTGTTATCGCCATTACCATTACCATCAAATGCCACCGTCACCTACCTTCTTCCACTGTATTATGGTCTTCTTTGGTCCGATTGTATTTAGCGCCGCCTGTATCTTCTCCCAATACCATTCCTTCTCCTTTTTCCCCTCCATATATTTGGTTTCACGCAGGAGTGTAATGAGCATCTTCTTTTGCGGTTTCGTTACACGATCCTTGAATAAAATATTGAAAACCTTGAAGTTAAGAAACGAAAAAAGGCGAGAACTGGATATTTCACACGAAAATACTTCTTTGAATATCAATACAAAGTAATTATCGTATTTACAGAATGTAAATCTATGCGCACAAACATAAAATACCACACCATATCAGAGTTTAGCCCAAGGGGCAGCGTAGATTGTACGTATACAGTAGGTACACAAAATAGCAAATGGGTATGAATTAGTTATTTGTACAACGATTTTGGGTTGCTGGGCCCAAACGCGTGACCCGAATCAGGAAACCTGTACACACACTTGTAGACAAGAGTTAACGCTTTGTTTAAAAAATACTAATTTACTATATCTGTGCACTACATAATTTATTAATAATTCCGGTTTGAAATATGGCATTTTTTGCAAATTTCCAAGCTGAGCTGTCAAACACAAAAAATATCCACGAAATATATCTGCAAAAGGTGGCCAGCCCCAATTCTTCGTCAAGACAGAAGGGGGATATAATCCCTAAGAGCGGCCGAGAGCCGCCTACGCAGAAAGGTGTGCTCTGCAAAAGGTGTTCAGCCCTCTTCTTCAGCAACACAGAAAGGAGAATTCTACCTAGTGAAGGTTATGTGTAATCCTTTTTGAAAAAATCCGATTTTCCCTATTTTCAAACAGCTTTCTAGTGGTCTGTGGTGGGTGAGGGGAGAAGGGGTGACTTTTCATAAAGCGCGGTCCATCCTCTTTCGTTTAGAGCGGGTTTGGGGGCCACGTCTCCTGCCCCTCTGCCACCCACCAAAAAAGTCGTTGTACATATAACTAAACATTTCACCAGCAAATCGACAGAGATAGCTCAGGAGCGGTTCGTTTCAGTTGCCAGACGTCACCCGGCAAATTTCTCACTCTTCCCAAACTCAACGTGCCACTTATGTATGCACTGTGTATGCACATACCCATATGTATGTATTTTAGATGTTGGCAATATAGAAGTGCGCCCATAACTGCAGTTCCATGCTTCCATTTTGCGGAAACTTAGGGCTCCGCTGCATATGAGCCATACAGATTGTTCAACTTGCATTTTTTTTTTATTTGCATATCATAAAATCTGTCCGTCTTTTCACATAGACACCTACCTATCTAGCGACAGGTACCGAACGAGCTATCAATTGGCTATTGTAGCCCTGGCTAGCTATAGATTTTAGTGAGATTCTATCTACACGCACACTTACCATTTTGTTCGTTGTAAATTATAACCAAAATAAAAATTTGCTATGAATTTTTGACAAGCTTTATTTCTGCCGCAGGAATTTAGCGATTTATTTCACTTGGTTCACCGTCGTGTCGACAGTCGACCGTCAATCGTCGTTGCCGTCGACGTTCGTCGTTTTCATTTTTATGTGTGTCTGTCGTGTGTGTCATAGCGCATTTGTTGTTGTTTCGCCAGCGCTCTGCTCACGACCGTCCGTCCGTCTTGCATGGTGGCTGGCTGCGCTGTCGATATATTGATAACATTTCCGATAGAACAATTGACATATAGGGGTGTTGCCAGGTCGATGTGTTAAGAGCTACCGTGTGACAAAAACCGCAAAAGCCCGGGCCCGGTGATTTACCCTTTTCCCCTTCCATTCGGCGAGCCTGCTTACAGCCATCGCAGGAGATCTGTCAGCTTCATCGCAAGCGAAACGCAGATAAATTTTTGTAGGTACTTTGGCATTTATTTAACCGCAGATTTCAATTCAAAAAGTGCTTACGAGTACATTAGACATGACGAAAATTAATATACTGCACGTTGTTTTGAGTGGTTTTGAGCATATATTTTATAGAAAACACACAACTTTATAAAAATTCAAAGTTCAAACCAAGGCGAATTTATACAAGGTGGTGTTGATGGCGAATTTAGATTTTCGCCGTCGTACTTAATGTCAAAATGATGTGTTTATTGTAATATGAATTCGCCTCATCATTTTGACATTGGGAAGTACCGCGGCGAAAACCCAAATTCGCTAGTAACACCACCAAGGTGTATTAAACAAGGTGGTGTTGGGGCGACAGCTGAGTTTTTCGCCGTAGAGGCCATTACGTCAAAATGATGTGTTTGTTGTAACTCATACCAATGACAGTATGGACATCAGCGTATAATTTGTTAGTGTAATTTTTTACTTATATACGGCCAACACCACCTTGTTAAATACGCCTTGAACACCACCTTGTATAAATTCGCCTTGGTTCAAACAAGCTGTAAAACTATTTGACAGTTCATCGCGTGCGATAGCTCGCAAACGATATCTACTGCTATTAGTAGGTGCGTTCGCGTAGCTGTTAATTGTTCAAGTTTAACCAAAACTTACAGGTTTTTGCGTTCGCGTACGCAAAAAACTTGCAAAGTAGGGGAAATTGAGAGAGCAAAGTGACATTTCATTTTGAGGGGAAGCTGTTAGTTTCTGTTGGAAAAATTTTTGCCAACAGGGAAACAGCTGATCAAAAACAGCTGGTTGGCATTTACGCAAATCACAAAATTGAATTTGATGGTTGGAAGATAAAAATTACAAAATGCGAGAAATAAACTTGTAAGAAATAAGTAGTTATTTGTTTAATCAATAAACTGTGTCAGTATAACACTTTGCGATGACTTTTCGTACGTTTTAAATTTTACACTTTTGTATGTAAACAAAAATTATATCAGCTGTTCGTCTAACTTGCAAGTTTCTGCAAATTTTCTGTTCGCGTACTATTTTGGATATTTCTCTCTTGTGAGAGAACAGATGACATTTCGCCGGAATTTGGCAGTTGGTTGGTTTCTGCTAGAGATTTTAAACGAACGCACCTAGTGTTGGGCAATATCGATACCAAAAGTACTCAGAAGTCGATTCTCGAAAGGATCGACAGAACCCGATTTTTGAAAGTATCGATACTGAATACTCCAAAGAACTCAGTACTCACAAAAGTACTCGAAGGTACTCAGTACTCAAAAAAGGAACTCGAAAGTACTCAGAACTTAAAAGAACTAGAAAGTACTCAGTACCCAAAAATACTCTGTTCCAATAATCGCTTTGATACATGTACTCAGGATCGATTCAAAGTACTCAGTATTAAGTGTCGAATAGACTTAAAAAGTACTGAGCTTTATTTAGATTTAACGGTATTCAGAAATGATTGTATTCAATTTGCAGTTTCAATAATTTTCAAGTACAATACTTGTACCCAGTAAAGTTAGCCTTTCATTTGACGTACTTTAGGATTCATATATTAATTTGAATAAAGTACTGCCAGTTTGTGAGATTTATATACTAAGTATTGAAATGTTACCAACATGTGTATATTAAAAAAAAAGTACTCAGTACTCTGAAAAATACCCGATACTTAAAAGTATCGATACTAAAGAACTCGATCCTCATAAGTACTCGATACTTCCCAACACTAACTGCTATCTATCTCTTGCGATTGCGATGGTCTCCAAGAATGATAGAATACAAGATTGCGCCGATTGCAGCAGAATTCGTGAGAGTAATTTTAGCGTGACGTCATCGTAGAGTTGACAACTGAGAGCGGCGAGAATGAGGGCGACTAGTGATGTGCTGAATTGTCCCCAATACTCGGTACCCAATACTTAAAAAAGATTTCGGTACCGTATACTTCCTTTTCGGTATCCGATACCGATTATTTACGCTTACGTTATATTAGCGGTTAGGGCTCGTAATAATTTTTTTTAATTATTTCAGGTAGAAACCAAAACAGGACCTATACGTAATATTTCTCATTATTCTGACTTTCTTCAACATACGCTTCAATTTCATTGTGGAAGTCACTGTCGGATTTCCTGTATCGACAGTGGTGTCGAGTGCGTTCCGATTACGAATACAGCTTTTTCAGCCGAGTACCTTTCAAATGTTTGGAATTAATTAAATTAATTGAATAAACGAATATTTACATACTTCTTTCATTATTAAATCGCAACAAGATTGTTCATTTTTAAATTTAACGAACTCGTTGATTCAAATTACTGCTGACAAAAAATGCAACCGTGTGCCACAATCCTGCTTGCAAATTCTAACTGGCAAAAGATTTCCCAGCACGAATTTGCAGCTTCCCCTCCAAATGAAATGTCAAAATTGTGCTCTCTCCTTGCAAGTTTTACTGGGTTTTTGGCTAAACGAACACGATTTGGTAACAATTGGTACCAACTTGTAAAAATTTTTTGCATAGCGAACTCTCTAATTGATACTCGCATTTTTATAGACTCTCATATGCCTTTGATTGAAATTTAATAAATATTTTGCGGAAAACCGCCTTAACTAAAACGTTTAATCGAAAGGAAGCGGTTGTGCCTGTCGCATGTTATCGGTTTCGATAATTCCGATTTCAACAAACTTGGCATTTCCGCTTTTGTACATATCCGCCTTTTTTATTTCCTTCAGTGTTCGTCTCAAAACTATGTATGTATGTATATTAATTTTCTTAATTTTTCTCATTGATTACAAGGTTTATCCATTCCAGATAAGGCATGATGGCTGTATAGATGCTTGGTATGCCCGTTATGCCACACGTGAGTCCATGGGATACAATACCAACAATGGAAAAACTGTCTTTCAGTTTGCATATCAAAGGACCCCCACTGTCGCCCTGCAAGCAAAAAATATATATATTCATTGTAGATTTTTGTTAACTCTAAACTGATCTTTTCATTGGATTCGGTATCTACCGTTACCTGGCAAGTGTCTTGATTTTTGCCCAATGCACATATCGTAGTATCATCGTGGGGTGGCGCTAAAATTCGGCCTAAAATCTNCTACCGTTACCTGGCAAGTATCTTGATTTTTGCCCAATGCACATATCGTAGTATCATCGTGGGGTGGCGCTAAAATTCGGCCTAAAATCTCACTACATTCCTTCTTTGCGATAACACTAACTTCGCCTTCAAATAGATTGCTTTGTAATACACCAGCGTATTGAGTTGCGCCGTAACCTATGATCTGACAGGAAGCTGCAAGCGAAACAGGATTAATTAGATTTGCCATGTATACCTACATACTATATTTAAACACATTAAGATTACCGCCAGTGGTGTTATTTAAGCCAGGCGGTGGCAATCGTCCATAACCGACGCTTTTTGCATCGAATTCCGATTCATATGGTTTCCGCAAACGTACCAATNAGGATTAATTAGATTTGCCATGTATACCTACATAGTATATTTAAACACATTAAGATTACCGCCAGTGGTGTTATTTAAGCCAGGCGGTGGCAATCGTCCATAACCGCCGCTTTTTGCATCGAATTCCGATTCATATGGTTTCCGCAAACGTACCAATGCAATATCATTTTGAATAATATTTGGTTGGTAGTAAATAAATTCAAAACGTTCTACAGCGTGTAGACTGATATTCTGATCGGCGATTGCGAGGTTTTCATNTGCAATATCATTTTGAATAATATTTGGTTGGTAGTAAATAAATTCAAAACGTTCTACAGCGTGTAGACTGATATTCTGATCGGCGATTGCGAGGTTTTCATGACCGATAACGGCGGATATGAGTGATAAATCTCTTTGTTGAGGATCATATTGGCCAACGTCGTTGTTATTAAAAGGGTTTGGAATATGTTTTTTAAGTCAATTTATATAATAAATTTAATTTAATTACTTGCGCCATAGGCAATGTGCTGCAGTCACTATCCAGCTCTCACTTAGCAGAGCACCCCCACAAAAATGTTGACACTCGCTTAAATTTTGTGCGCTGAAGGGCTGCTTACATTCTTGCAGGGAAACCATATACGAATACTTGCGTGCCGCTAGGAATTGGAAACGGGTTGAAAAGTTAATTTACAAAATTAAAAAATTAGATTATTTGGAAATTTCTTACCATTTTTTGTACTAGCCACTACCTGACCACCAACAATAGGCGTAACGCTTACTTTTTTAGTTAACACGAGCAATGAAAACGCCACGCTACAAATATCGACCAACCGCATATTGGCTCAGAGTTTAATATACTACTGTTGCTCCATTCTGCGTTTGTTGGATAAAAACAGTTTTGAGTACGGAATGCCTCACAACCGCAAGCTGTGCAAACAAGAACTTTTCTAACTGTTGAGTTAAAAATACGTATTTATTTATAACGAAGTCACTGTGTACGCGCCAGACGGTCTAAAGGAGTTGACAATGGAAAACAATGCTCCATAACTATTTCTTTGAAATCTACAATTTTAAAATTTTGTAATAAACTAACAAGTATGGCTACATGTAATCTACAATTTTAAAATTTTGTAATAAACTAACAAGTATGGCTACATGTGTACAAACATATGTATTTATGTACGTATTTACATGGACGTGAAAATTTTAATTACTTGCTACGTTCTAAACAATTTTCTAAACTTTGTAGTGTTTTTAGTTCCAGGCAGTATATTATATTTTATCATTTGAACACTAGTTAAAAATTGCAACTGAGAAAACAAAAATGGTGCTTCTGCTTACTGCCAGCTTATCTGAAAAAAAATTGCAACATTTTGTTGTAGAAAACTCGCTGCTTAATCAATTCGCAAAGTGTTTTATTTTTCTTTCTTTAGAATGTATGTGATTCGTTAAGATTCTAAGTTATGTTTTAAAAATAATACAAAAATTGTGCTTCTGCTTACTGCCATCTTATCTGCGTCCTCGTGCCGCCATCTTTGCATTTACTGTACGCGTTACCGCCGAGACGCCTTCTTCGAACTTGGTGCGGAACAAAACATTTGCGTTGTTGAACATGCCATCCTTCAGTGAAACGATTATAAACTGGGAGCCCGTGAAATGTGCTTTCAACATGTTGCCAATATTTTGTGTATGCGACATATCCAAAGCTGCATCAACTTCGTCGAGTATATATAGTGGCGCAGGTGAGAATTTAAGCATAGCCAAGACAAGCGAAAGAGCCACCAATGAACGTTGGCCGCCAGAAAGTTCGCTAAGCGATTCTTTCCACACGCCATTAAAACCCACATTTATCTCCAAACCAACGAGTTGTCCCGATTGCTTGAAGGGATTTAGACGTGCCTGTGCACCCTGTAGCAATGTGCTAAAAATGCTGCTGAAATTCTCATCGACAACCTTCCATGCTTTCTCCACCTTTTCACGCTTCTTTTCATCCATTTTACAAATAATGTGTTTTATCTTTTCTTTGTCCTGCTCAACGATCTTCTTACGGCGCATGGTCTCCTGATATTGCTCCTCTTCGCGATCCAGCAGTATCATGGCTCGCAAATTTATGTGCCGTTCCATTTTGTCCTTTTGCTCACGCATTAGCGTCAATTTGTGGCCCGCCTCAATGGGATCCTCTTTCGAGTAGTCATAACGAGTATTCTTTGTGCCGAAAAAGTCGCGATCCTCTAAAATCCAGGGGTACTTTTCCTCCAGCGACTCGATTTTGCGGAACGAATCCTTACTATCGTTGCGCACTTTGTTGATTTCATTTTCCTTTTTCTTAATTTCCAAAGTCATTTCCTGATTTACTTTAGCCAATTTCTCTTTTTTCACCAACAAGTTCTTCAACTCCCTATTTTGAGAATTGATTTTATCCTTATGCTCCTTGATACGCTCCTTTAGATTGGCTACAAGCGCACTAACGCTAGAGCTGCTTTCCCGGAGTTCATCGAGATTTGTTTTCATGTTGCTTATGCTTTCCTTCATGCCGTCACGTTGCTCTGTCGTCTTTTTAATACTCTTATTCAACTCATCTATTTCCAACTGCAAGGTTTCGAATTCTTGCTCGCGCTTTTTCCAGTTGTTACGCGACTCTTCGGACTTCTTTTTGGCCTGTTTCATTGCTTCTGCTGCCGCTTTGAGCTCACGTTCGCGAAAGCCCTTGGCGTCTGCAAGCTTTTCTTCGATATCTTTAATTTTATTACGTGCGGTCTTCTGCGTTTCGCGTGCTTTAGCGAGATCGCTTTCAAGTGTTTCTATTTGATGTTGCAACCCCTTTATTTCCTCTTGATGCTGTTGAAAGGTACTTTGGGCCAAGCGCTGCTGGCAGGCATTCAATTCATGTTGTCGCAACTCCAATTGCTCCTTGATGCGATTGAAGTTGCGTGCGGCCTCTGTTGTGATACTAGAGCGCAAAAACGATTTAAAAAACTTATAAAGAAAATCTAAAGATACATAAAGAAAATTTACCGCAATTTTTGCTCAATATTATGCAACTCCTTTTTGCGTGCTGCAATTTCTTTTTCTAATCTCTTAATTTCCGCCAAATCGGCTAAAACATTGCTGCCTTTGGGACGTGAACCACCCGAAAGCGTACCTTGAGGGTCCACTACGTCTCCTTCTAATGTTACAGAACGTGAATGTATGTTACGATGATAAGTGACCTATGAGGGGAGAAGAATAGCAAATAAAAGTTATATAAAAAGCCGCTGATTTGCTAACCTTTTTAGCGACATTCAAATCGCGACACACCAATGTGTGGCCAAAAACAAATTTCATTACAGGATCGAAGCAACGATCGTATTCGATTAAGGACAANCGCGTGCTTTAGCGAGATCGCTTTCAAGTGTTTCTATTTGATGTTGCAACCCCTTTATTTCCTCTTGATGCTGTTGAAAGGTACTTTGGGCCAAGCGCTGCTGGCAGGCATTCAATTCATGCTGTCGCAACTCCAATTGCTCCTTGATGCGATTGAAGTTGCGTGCGGCCTCTGTTGTGATACTATAGCGCAAAAACGATTTAAAAAACTTATAAAGAAAATCTAAAGATACATAAAGAAAATTTACCGCAATTTTTGCTCAATATTATGCAACTCCTTTTTGCGTGCTGCAATTTCTTTTTCTAATCTCTTAATTTCCGCCAAATCGGCTAAAACATTGCTGCCTTTGGGACGTGAACCACCCGAAAGCGTACCTTGAGGGTCCACTACGTCTCCTTCTAATGTTACAGAACGTGAATGTATGTTACGATGATAAGTGACCTATGAGGGGAGAAGAATAGCAAATAAAAATTATATAAAAAGCCTATATAAAAAGCCGCTGATTTGCTAACCTTTTTAGCGACATTCAAATCGCGACACACCAATGTGTGGCCAAAAACAAATTTCATTACAGGATCGAAGCAACGATCGTATTCGATTAAGGACAACGCGGATTGCACATTTTCTTTTCCTACCTAGAAACGTATAAATATGCAAAATACTAACAAATCTTACAAAAATTCATTCTCACCAAGCTCTGTGCGAAATCAATTACACTCTGATCGATCGGATGCGAAGTGATTTTATTAATGGGTATGATGGTTACACGATGTTGCAACTGACCCTTTTGCAGTATTTTCTTGCTGGTTATATCGTCATCAGCTACATAGCTGTACAACTGCAAGTGAAAATATGTTTTAATAAGTATGTATTGTATATGAAACAATCAAACTTACGCTGCCACCGGCAGTCATCATTAGAGCGAGATTATTCTTTTCATCGCGCACATTGAATAGTTTGCCAACCATGCCACGCATCTTGGAACGATCGAAATTTGGTTCGGGGTCGCGATATTGTAATTCATAGCGATAGGCATTTCGTCGGTCCAGCTGATGATTTAAGTCACGTATTTCATGCTGTAGCACATTTTTTCTTTCCTGCAGCGCTTCAAAGCTGCCATCCTCGTAATCGATGGCAGCCATTTTTTGGCTAAGACCATTTATTTCCCTTTCAAGTTGTTCGCTTAATTGTTGATCCTTAGCATAGAGCGAGTCCTTGGATTGTTTATCATTCGCACGCTGCTTCAAAACATTTCTGCAGTGCGACAACTCCATGCTTGAAGTTTTAAGTGTCGTCTCGGCTTGGCTTAGTTGTTGTTTCGCATCTGAAATCAAAAATTAAATCACAAAATCTTTTTCATACAACTATAAATCTTCTTTTACTAATGAGCTGGTCCTGCAAAGAACACGATTGGCCCTCTTCGTCCACCGATAAGCCTTGCGTAACCGCCTCGAACTTTTTCTGTGCCGCATCATACGCCTGCGAATCACGTTCATCCGCATCTTTAAGGCTCTGAAACAGATCATGTACTTTAGACATTTGTGCTTCCTTCTGCTTCAGCGCTTTTTCGTCTTCTAAAATATTTTTCTCCAATGCACGTAGCTTCTTCTGCTCTTGATCTATACTAGTTTGCGCCGATTTCAAGTTACCCGCCATTTTTCCTTCCTCCACCACTTGCTTGGTGAGTTGTTCTTCAACTTCTTTCAGTGCACCACCGCTGTCGGAATCGATTTGCGTCTGTACTTGCTTTGCAGATTCCTCAATCTGTTCTGTTTCACTGTTGTTATCTTTAATTGTGGTTTTGCAAGTTTCCACACGGTTTGTTAGCTTTTCAATGTGTTGCTCAATGGAACCGAGTGCTTCTTTTTGCTTAAGATAACGAAATGATATGTGTATGCGCGTCAAATATTCAATGTCGCGACATATTTTTTGATATTCCAGATAAGCTGAACGCTCCTGACGCAACTTTTCTAACTTCGGTTCAACTTCTTCCTGCAACAAAGTATTTGTTTCACGTACTTTTGCATCCTTCTTTTCAATCAGTTTTGTAGTCGCTTCGCGTTTGGTTTCATACATGCTAGTGCCTGCGGCCTCCTCAATCATCGATAAAATAAAAGTTGGGATTGTTAACATTCAACTGCACTGAGCAGAAAAAGTCGGAGACCTTCTTGTTCTGCACCAGTTTGCCATTTATAAGGTACTTATTTTTGCCACCAACAACAATCTGCCGAGTAACAGAGATTTCTCGGCATTTCTCATAGCCCAAAGGGCACTGATTTGGATCTGAATTGTCGAAAATTAGTGTAACGGTTGCTTTTGTGACGCCAGCTTGACCGCTTTTGTACACAAGATCTTGAAGAGATGCGGCTCGCACCTATTCAACGGGACTTAAGTCAATGGAAAAATAAAAACGACAAAAAATTACCTGTCCCAGATTCATTATACCAAGCACGAAGCATATTGAATCCAAAATGTTCGACTTGCCTGTGCCGTTCAAGCCAGTAATGGCAGTGAACTCGCTGTCAAAGCCATGGATTTCTGTGCGCCGTCCATAGGACTTAAACCCATCAATTATAACTGATTTTATGTACATTCCAATGCGATCGGTGTTCGGCCTCTTAAATACTAGCTCTGTAGAATAAAAATATGTATTATAAGGACGCCTGCCACGGAATTTAAGCAAGAGCGCGCGCCGCGACCAGGTGAAGCGTAGGCACACTCGAAATTGTTGAATCACAAAGTCGCCAATGCTTACCGGAAGAATTATGCGATAAAAATATAATTTTTTTAATTTACACACTTCCGAAAATTGTTAAAATGTATTAAATCATTTTCCAAACAAAAAGCAAAAGCCAAATAGAAGCCTTTTTCGTTCTCTTCTTCTTCTTTGTAATTGGCAGCCGTTGACCAAAGCTGCCAGCTTTTTACTTTTTCAAATGCTCAAAAAGAGAGTTATTTTTGCAATACATAGCTGCTTAATTTTTTTTTTTTATGAAAATACGCAATTAAAGTTTCAGAAAATGTATAGAGCTTGATAATTATTTAGCTTACCCCATTTGCCTTGCTTTGGGCATAAATGCACAATACTACCAAATCTCGAATTAAAAAAATTCATACGGGGATCGATAGAGATCATTGAGGTGAGTGTAACGATGTAATTTTTTTTTTTGGGAAACAACAACTACAACAATTATTAAAGGTCAAAGTTCAAATTAAGCATTTTCTCAAATTAATATTTCTCGAAAACCTCTTCAAGGAATTGGACAATTTTGATATCATTTGATAGAGAATTTAATTCTCTTTAATTTGTATACATATTTATTTAGCGCTTACGCAGAAAGGTGTTCTTTGCAAAAGGTGTTCTTTGCAAAAGGTGTTCAGCGCCTTTTCTTCACAACACAGAAAGAAAATTCTACTTTGTGAGGGTTATAATCCATAAGTGCGGCCGAAGGCCGCCTACGCAGAAAGGTGTTCTGTGCAAAAGGTGTTCAGCGCCTTTTCTTCGCAACACAGAAAGAGAATTCTACTTATTGAGGGTTATAATCCATAAGTGCGGCCGAAGGCCGCCTACGCAGAAAGGTGTACTCTGCAAAAGGTGTTCAGCGCCTTTTCTTCGCAACACAGAAAGAGAATTCTACTTTGTAAGGGTTATAATCCATAAGTGCGGCCAAAGGCCGCCTACGCAGAAAGGTGTACTCTGCAAAAGGTGTTCAGCGCCTTTTCTTCGCAACACAGAAAGAGAATTCTACTTTGTGAGAGTTATAATCCATAAGTGCGGCCGAAGGCCGCCTACGGAGAAAGGTGTTTATACACAAAAACCCTGTATACCTTTTTTCCACATTAATTCCATTTTCGTGAAAACTATAAAAAGGTATATGTATAAATATGTATATCAAATTAAAGAGAATTAAATTCTCTATCAAATGACATCAAAATTGTCCAATTCCTTGAAGAGGTTTTCGAGAAATATTAATTTGAGAAAATGCTTTATTTGAACTTTGACCTTTAATAATTGTTGTAGTTGTTGTTTCCCAAAAAAAAAAAAATATACCGTTATGTTCACCTCAATGGTCTCTATCGATCCTATTTTTTTTTTTTAATTCGAGATTTGGTAGTATTGTGCATTTGTTCCTTGCTTTGTCTTTGTTGTTTGAATAAAATAAAAAAAATAAGTGTTGCATAATCATAGTTTAATACCAGAGAACGTATAGTTATGACAAGATGCAAATCGTAAATCTGCTCTCTTCATTATTTTCTGAAACGTTTCAACCATGGGTCGTAACAGAGAAATGCTAAATTTCATGTTACTGTGCTGCAAAGTCTGCAAACCTGCAAACTGAATGTTTATCATCTGTTAACCAAACCAGCAAGCATATGAAAACAAAAACTTGTAATTACAATTAAAAATAAATAAATTATTGGATATCATGAACCAAAAATACAAGATCACGTAAGAACGCGACGTTGTATTTGTAACTGGTTTTGAGAAAAAAATTTGCGAAAGCGGGTTCGTCAGCTGAGCGTTTGTTTACATCACAGGCACCACTATTTTACACTTTTATTCAAGTAAAGAAGAGTTAATTCAACATGACAACATGTTTTAAAGCATTTTGTTGCATCATTTTACCTAAATTGTGCGTTTAAAGTGGCTGACAATAATTTTGGCTAATTTTGGTTTTCGTTTTTTTCTTTGCTTTGTTTACTTTTCGCTCGTTTTCCAGTGAAACAAGATGGCGTAGAACCCGCTAAAAAAAATCGACTTTTTTCACTCTCTTGTTCTTACGTGATCTTGTGTCTTCGTTCATGATTGGATATGCATTGAATGTGTTTTTTTTCAGTAATTGCTCTACTTATTTAAAACATTATGAATTGTACGTTGGTGCCCAATCCTCATTTCGTAAAATGGTGATTGTGATCGATTCAGATTTGCCGTCGGCATTTCAGAGGCGCTTTGGGTAAAAAAAATCGAGTTTACTTTTTTACCGATTCGCATGGTAGATGCTACACTATTTTCAATGCAACAAACCACAGCTTTCTAGCTGCCTTAGTTTTTTCACAAATTAATTTTAAATATGGACACATTGACTAAAAAGTGTACAAATGCAATGCGCTTGTTAACTAACTTCAAAGTTGTTTTTCTCGAAAAGTTATTTGTGAGTTTTATGAACATTTATTTTGACAAAAAATGTGTTGCATGATCATTTTTCACTGCAATGCTCGTATTTATATATGTACATAAATAACTGGGGCTATTCTAGTAAATTGCAAAAGTTATAGCTTTTAATTCAATAAAGTAACGCATTTACCCTATGCTGTACAGATCGATTTTCTAGCTACTGATCAGAACTTGTAGTTTGCTGACATTATATTCCGCAAGCGGAAGTTCCAATGCCGAGCTGACGTTACGTAAGTGCTGTGATTAATATTGCTAATTCGCAAGTAATAATCTTTCTGCAAACCCGAATGCGACAAAATATATTAACGCTTCAAGATGGATTGCCATTTTCCGTGCAGCTCACGATTTAGTGTGCTTGTAACAATCTATTAACATTGCGTAAGCGAACAGTTATGTCATCCTTAAAATTGGTATGCTGTAATCCGCGTTGCCGTATCGTAATTTCGAAATTCGGAGACCATCTTCGAAATTCGTAATGTTGGTATGCCTGAATCCGACGTAGCTGTAATTTGTAAATATGTATGTAAGTTGAAGTGTGAATAAAAAACAATGTATCATTAAATGTTTACAAAATTATCAAGTCGACAATCACAACCAATCGCTCGCAATACGAGGCCCGAAAGGCCGGACATTGCCCGAGGCTTTGTAACAGTTAAAGAGGATGTGGCGAAATTTTGGGAAAGCGTTGCAAGATTTAAAGCAACACAATATTTAGTTGAATGGACGCCCTTAAAAAGAGGGAGCATATATTTATCATTTAAGCTAAATGGATCAGAACTGTCTCGTAGCAATCTCCTTTGTATATTAATGCAACAGTTGACTGCAGCATGTTCTTCCTCCTGAGACAAAAGTGCACCGGCCACTGAATCCATTCTATTTTACTTAATTAAGGAAAAGCTTTTCAAATACGATTAAACAATTTTTTTTAATTTCACTGTTCACTTGCGATTATATTTATTTTGATTTGTTTCTGTCAAAGCAGCTGATTAAGAACTTCGAATTTCACTATTTTAGTTGGTAACGCCGTTGATAGTTACGATCGGATTACAGCATACCAATTTTCGAATTTTCGGAAAGGAGCTACGAATTCGTAACTACGAACTTTCGGATTACAGCATAGGGGTGTTTATTTCAACTACGAATATGCCCCAATAGGTTTGGATTCAAATGAAAATGCATTTCCCACGCATGTATATGTATGTATGTACACACAGCAATAATGCAGGAGCTGGAGTAGAACTTGCTTTTTAGCCGTTTATTTCTAAAAGAAGTACAAATAGTAAAGGGAAAAATACATATTTCGACACTCACGATTGAGAGAATACAAAGGTTGCGCCGATCTCGGACCGCTATTCCTCTCTTAACGAATTTGACAGAATCGTTGTTTGCATGACGTCCTACTGGTGCAACTTGTTTACATTTTCCTTGCCAAATTTTTTCTTCTTCTTCCATTCTTGCTCACGTTTTGGCATTTCTCTCTCGCAATTGCACCAGTGTGACGTCACACAAAAGTTATTCTCAAAAATCCTCTCTGATCGGCGCAATCTTGTATTCTATCATTCTTGTTTCGACACTTACCCCAGTTTTCGCTCCCGCTTGCAACGCGTGGTACAATAAAATTTAAGCAAAATGGTTCCGTTTGGCGAAAAGTTACGATTTTATACTTCAAAATATAACGGAGCAAGCGGACAGCGAAGCAAAGCGAGATGAAAACAGGGTTGCACATAAATTACATGTATTCACATTAAACAAATTTCATATCTTGACATAAAACATACTAGGCAATAACATCGATTCATCATAAACGTTAATACTAGGTTCACATATAAGTAGATTATCCTCATTTTAGAGCTTAACACCCTAATCTGTAATTATAACGAGAGATTAGCTATATAAAATTCCTCCCTTGTTAATCTGTAATTATAAAATAATCTCAGATTTAANTAAAATGTTAAGTTAAAATATATTTATATTGCTTATTATAGCAGAAAAACGTGATCACGGTGGCACAGAGAAGAAACATAAATTTTCCTTGAGGTGTGAGAATAACAAGCACAACAAATTTGACGGCTATTAATCTGAGATTTGCCTGTGTAAACGGGGTGATTAAAAAGCGAGCTTTGATTGAGATAATATTGATATGTGAACATAGTTTAAAAACACTGAACTAATCATCCACAATGTACAGACATGCTCCATTACTTGATAACGTTTTTACATGCATATATATGTATGTG